TAGGGTTTAGGGTTTAGGGTTTTGGGTTTAGGGTTTAGGGTTTAGGGTTTAGGGTTTAGGGGTTTAGGGACCCCAGATCCGAAATTGGAGGCATGTTCCACGCGAAAGCCATCGGCTTCGAGGGGACGCCCATGGCCCAGCGTTTGCGCTCCTCGGCCGCTGCATTGGGTCGAAACACTCTGGGTTGGGCTTGTAGCTTTTAGGATTCATACGGCTTGCATAAGGGTCTGACGGGTTCGCTGGGCTGCTAGATTGTAAGGGCATGCTAGGGTTTTAGCAGGGTTGTATGAGGCTCATGAGGCTCTCTTCGGGCTTGGTACACTTCTACAGGGTTTTTGTTGAGTCATTCCAGGGTATAGCTCACTCCAGCCTGCATGGCTCAGTTGTGAGCATGGTTTTGGGGAGTCCTGGCTAAAGCCTGCGGGGCCCCCTTCTGCAGGTGCATAGCCGCCTGCACACCCTTTTCCCTCGTATTCTGCCTGAGCGCCCGGATCTGGGCGTACGGCAACGCTAAATCACACACGTTCAAAGCCGCCATATCACAAATATGATAATACATGGGTGGTTGTCAAAATTAGGGTCCCTTTTTGGGTCCTTATTATAATACGGCACCTATTATTTAGGGTACTCCAAAAGGGACCATAATTTTGACAACCACCCACATGTTGACAACATGGTTTGAATTGATGCTGCCACCCTCAGCCTTGCAGCCCAAAACTAAAAAGGCTGCATGACGAACCCTTTGCAACCGTAGGCCCGAACAGGCAACAGCACCCCTAAAACATATACAAAGTCTAAAACTAGAGCCTAAAGCCAGACCCTAAACCCTAAGTCCCTAAACCCTAAACCCTAAACCCTAAACCCTAGACCCTGTACCCCACCTTCACGCCGAAAGGAACCTGAAGGGACCTAGGACCCTCGGCCCCACACTCGAAACTAAAGCCATAGGCCAAGCCCCCCCGCCATCCCCCGAAAAGATCACATTTTGCAGGAGCCCCTCAAACAGCCCCACGGTATATAATCCTATGGGTGGTTGTCAAAATTAGGGTCCCTTTTTTGGGTCCTTGTTATACTACGACACCTATTATCTGCGGTACCACAAATGGGACCATAATTTTGACAACTACCCATATGTATATAGTTATTTATGTATAGGTAACCCCAAAACCCTTCTTCAGTCTCATCGCCAGGGCACGTCCACCGCCTTGCGTGCCAGTCGCTTCTCGATCGCCAAAGCCGGGTTCAGGGTTCAGGTCTTCGTGTTTAGGCCCAGACCCCCGGAAGGATCTTGAAAGTAGAACCCCCAATTTGGGACCCTATACTACTAAAGGGTACTTAAGGGATCTACTTTTTGGATCCTCCCCGGGGGTCTGGGTATAGACATGCATAGACTGAGGGGTTTACCGTGATTAGGGGTCCATGTAGGTGAATGTACCCACCCGTAGTTCTGGAATGCTCCTGGGAAACTACTTGGCACTCTTTATTGAAAGCTTACAAAGGGAAGTACAGGCTAGCACAGGGCCCAAGAGCAATGGCGAGCCAAATTTTTAGTTTACAGAAGCGCTGTCTAGTCATCCGTGGTTGTCGTACCCCCCGACAGTCACAAAATTCTTGCGCAACCCTGTTCCAAACTATAAAGGCATTACCCTCCGCTAAACCCTAAACCCTAAACCCCTAAACCCTCGGCTTCCGCCCAAATCAAGGTACCATTCCGACACCTGCACCCGGCAGTGTAACTTCTGCCCGGGGACGGCGGGCTCCTCCCAGACGGCGAACATGATCGACGCCGCAGGGCTGAAGTCAGGGTTCGGGCTTCGGGAGTTTAGGGTTTAGGGGTTAGGGTTTAGGGTTTACGGGTTTAGGGTTTAGGGTTTAGGGTTTGTTCTTCGTGGGATTCGGGCTTTGAAGTTGGAGGTTTGAGGTTTCGGTATAGCTCATGCGGAATCCTAGCAGCCACAGGTCCGGAGAGTTGACATGTTGAGGGCAAGAGAGGAAGGAGTTGGAGGCTTACGGATTACCTATAGTCTCCATTGTAGTTCCTTCTGTTGGTTCAACCAATTATATATCAAGGATTTTATAAGATATCCCCAGAAAGGAACTACAATGGAGACTATAGCATGACTATAGGTAGAATTCGAGATCTATGGGCTTGGGGCTCAAGGTTAGGACATACGAAGCAATGAACTGTGAAGATCTTCGGCCATCCACTCCCTCATGTATACTCTTTCTACGACTTTGGCACGCCCATGTCTGCTATTCGCAAGTATGCTTCCATCATGGAATCAACACTACAAGCACCATCCTCCCTAAAACCTTTTCCCTGAGCTACCTACACCCCCGAACGCGATTTGATAGGACGCCTGGATCCTCCACGTTCGTCGAGCCCCAGTAAAGGTTGCATAGAGGTCTGAACACTTAAGAACGCGTTCCCTCTGTAGTCTGCTTCTTTCTATGCTCTAATCGCTCCCCACTCCATATTCTCATCCCCCATTCCCTTATAGTCCCTATATTATAATATAGGCCCTTCAGCTATGTTGTTTACAAAGGCCCCTATATCACGGCAAGCATGCAGTCCCCCCGAAGCCTGAATACTTAGATTTCTTAGGGGTTCGGCCTAGATCTCTCTGGAATCCTACCAGGCCCGATGCGGCCCTGCAAAAGCTATACATACCAAATCCGAAAACATCAAGCAAAAACCTTAAACCCTAAGCCTACACTGTAGAACCAGAACAAACCTAAACCCTAACCTATAATCCTAAACCCTAAACCTTAACTATAAATCCTCCGATCTCCAGGCAGATGGAAGCTTAGTTGGCTGGGACGAGGCCGCCATCATCGGGGCAGACGACGAGGCCTGGGGCCGAGGGTTCCGGGGCCAAGGGTCCGGGCGCTAGGGGTGTCGGGCTAGGGTTTAGGGTTTAGGGACTTAGGGTTTAGGGACTTAGGGTTTAGGGGTTTAGGGTTTAGGGCTTTAGGGCTTTAGGGTTTAGCGTTTAGGGTTTGAGGGTTTAGGGTTTAGAGTGCGGGATTTGGGTTCAGGGCAGGGATCCAAGCCTGCCTGAACACTGCCCGAGGATTCCGAGACGGACTATCGAACGAACGAGTGGTGGCGCATCGATGATAGTGCTCCGGAAGCGATTTTGTCCCTGCCTAGAGTAGAAACCCCTTCGCCGCAACCAAGCCCATGCACCCAGACCCTAGCCGGCCAAGTTCCAGCAACCCCTGCTGGCCCAGATACGACAACACGCTTCAAGGAAGCAAGACGGTGCAATTTTCAGGTGGATTCCCAGATTGACGTCCTAATGGCTTTGCATGGCGGCCATGCACAGTCATGACAAAGAAGCATGATTTCTTTAACTTAGTGGCTGAGTAGGTAACCTTTAACCTTTTGGGGTTTATATAATCCCACCATAATTGAAAAGGTTAACCTTTTTTTGGGCTAGGGTACTCAGCCCCTAAGTTAAGGTTATAGGAAGTAGTAGGTTTCAGGGTTCCGGGACTTTGGAGGCATATCTGTCCCATCCCATGTATGGCTGACAAGAGTCAACTCAAAGACCCCTCAAACCTCAGCGGAAGACCATGTCATGGATGAATTCCGCAGCTTTCGGCTTCAGGGCGCCAGAACCCGTAGTGCCCCTATTACTTCGCTACAAGAACTCGTCCTTTTGTATAGTCTGCAGCGATCCGAAGATGTTCGCTACATGGTGGACTGTCCTCGCCTCCCTCGGCGTAGCAACCTCGGGTCGCTAGACGCAGACATAGTACAATATAGTCAAGGAAAGTAGTATAGTATGGTATGTAATAGTATAGTATAGTATGGTAGAATATAGTATACTATAATTAGTATAGTATAGGATAGGATAGGATGGTCTAGTATAGCATCGTGTAGTGTGGATAGAATAGTGTAACATTGGCTAGAACAATATAGTGTAACGTAGGATAGTGTAATACAGGATACGTAGAATACTAGAATATGGTATTTCGCAGCGGAAATGGCGCTGAGGGTACCGGAAGGATGAATGCTGACCTCTGATTCATAAACCCCAGTCTCTAAAGAAAGGATCAAATTGAGATGCTTAGATTAAGGCACTGAAAGAAAGGAGATGGTTTGTTGACATCCAAGCAATCCCCTTTGTGATTACGAAGGATTTCAAGCTCATGAGACAACAGTTGTAAGCCTAGACAAGTTCTTGGCAGCATCAGCTTGCAGGGGCTATCCAAGGCCTCACGTTGGAATAGCTGGTGGTGGCTGGAGGTGGGGGTGCTGGCTCCGGCGGAGGCGGTGGCGGAGGAGTCTTGCAAGGTTCAGTATCTTTGCTGCAAAGCCCAAGGAAAAGGTTAAGGAGAGCTTAGGGTTTAGGGTTTGACTGATATTCTTCGCATGTTGCAGTCAGCTGCAGTACTCCTCAGCAGCGCTCCCCTACGGAAGTCCTTCGTTTTGCCCGACCGAAGTAAGAAGTGAGACCTGTGAGGTAGACATCTTTCCCGGTACGGCATGGACTGTGGTTGTGGGTGCAGGTGGCATTGGAGGATATGGAGGCGCGCCCAACGGTGGTCCGGATCGGAACCAGTCCACAAGCGGAGAGAACTCAAGCTTGGGATGCTTGGGCTTCTATTGTACGAACAGCGTTTTGAGGGGCTGGGGTGTGTGCGTGAGGGTTCAGGCTAAGGGGCACTTCTTTCTAGCAAGATGATGACTTGACGAAAGTATGAGCAAGTGAGGAGAAATTGTCTCCATTGGCGGCGGACGTGGTGGCTCAATCATTCGATAAGGAGGCAACTGGGATCTGCTAACAAACACGTACTTTAGCATCGGGTCTAGGGCTTCTAAGGTACGTGATTCCAACTTCCTTAATTAACGATAAGAACCCGATATTATGGTGCCTCAATGTTACATTCGTTAACAAGAGCCCAGGCAATGGTGGCTCTGGTGGAGGCAGCGGCCACGACCTTCCTAACGACAATGATTAGAGGTCGGGGGACATTTGGTCAAGGCAACGATGGAGGCATCTCCAGCAGAACCTTTGGCTCTTGTTATGAGGAAACTTTAAGTTAAGTCGATAGGTATGTGCAGAAGATGATTATGGTCTATGTGTTCCATGCTGTGGCAACAGAATTCCTTGTGTTCTTGAAGACATAACTCCGTCATTTGTTGGGGTCAATCAAGTAAAAGGACGTTCAACAGGACCACCCTGAACCCTAAGCACCCCTAAACCCTGAACCCTAAGCATCCCTAAACCCCAAAGCTCCAAAACCCAAAAACCCTAAAACCCTAGAACCCTAAGCCCTAATCCTTAATCCCTAAACCTTGAAACCCTAAAACCCTAAACCCTCAACCCTAAACAAAGAGATGAGGAACGGCATTTGGAGCTGGAGGCGGCGGAGGTGGCAATGCCCGTGGTCGGCACTTTGGGAGGAGACTGGGCTCTCAGTGAAAAAATGGCTTTAGAGCCTTTAGAGTCAGGTTTAGGGTTTAGGGTTTAGGGTTTAGGGTTTAGGGTAGGGTTTAGGGTTTAGGGTTTAAGGTTTAGGGTAGGGTTCAGGGTTTAGGGTTTAGGGGTTGAGTGTTTTCAGTTTAGGAATAGGGGATTTCTTCCAGTTTTTTTAAGGATATGCTACGATCATCACATGATCATGTTGATGACAATAGCAAGAGTACTAGTGATATTGGTAAGGATAACCAGAACAAGAATAATGACAACCACATGTTTCGTAGCAATAATCAGCAACAAGATCACCATCATCATCAGCACCACCACCACCATCACCATCATCATAATCACCATCATAAACCCTAATCCCTATAAACCTTAAAACCCGAAAGCCCTAATCCCTGAACCTTAAAACCCCCAAACCCTAAACCCTCAGCCTCAATCCCTAAACCTTGAAACCCTAAAACCCTAAACCCCAAACCCTAATCCCTAATTACAACCCTAAATCCTAAACCTTAAAACCTTAAAACCCAAATCCCTAAAGCTTAAACCCGAAAAGCCTAAGCCCTAAACCCGAATCCCTAAATCTTGAAACCCTAAAACCCTCTCCCCTAATCCCTAAACCTTAAAACCCTAAGACCCTAATCCCTAAACCTTAAAACCCTAAAACCCTAAACCCTAAAACCCTAAACCCTATTTAAACCCGAATCCCTAAATCTTAAATCCCTGAAACCCTAAACCTTAATCCCTAATCACCTAATCTTTAAAACCTTAAAACCCTAAACCCGAATCCCTAAACCTTAAAACCCTAAAACCCGAAACCCTAATCCTTAAGCCCTAAACCTTGAAACCCTACAACCCTAAACCCTAATCCCTAAACCTTAAAACCTTAAAACCTTAAAACCCTAAACCCTAATCCCTAAACCTTAAAACCCTAAAGCCCTAAACTCTAAACCCAAATCCCTGAATCTTAAAACCCTAAAACCCGAAACCCTAATCCCTAAACTGGAAGCCCTGAAGCCTTAAAAAATAATCCCTAAACTTTAAACCCTAAAGCCCTAAACCCTAATCCCTGATCCCTAAAGCTCCTGAAAATCCTAGGAAATGGTGGAGATGGCATCGAAACAAATTTCACAGGACTTACTGGTTCTGAGTACGAAACGGGGGGATGGGGTTAGGGTTTGAAGTAGGGGTTGGGGTTTTTTCCGGTGAAAGGAGGCTATCATCGTGGATTTCTATAGGAATTCCTATAGGGGTCAGTTCCCTCCCTACTAAGAAGCAGTAAGAGGAACACCACTCTGGTTTGCTGGGGGCGGAGGTGGAGGCGTCAACAACAACTTCCCTGACCTGCGATTCTTTCCTGGTAGTGGAGGTGCTGGGGGCCGCGGAGGGGGAGGTCAAGGTAGCAGCATGGCCACACCTAATGATGGGCAGCCCTATGAAGGTTGCTTCAATGGCACAGATGGATTGCCAAACTCAGGCGGTGGAGGAGGGGCAACAGACCCCGAATGTACCGTTGCAGGCGATGGTGGATCCGGATTTGTTGCGCTCAAATATCAGTCCGTTGACCCTATCCTTCTTGGGGGCGACGTGACATCTTTTGACGGATACATCCTTCACAGCTTCGCAACTGTCCGTGCCTTCAACTTGACGTATCCGTCCACCACCACCACCAGCAGCAGCAGCAGCACCACCACCACCACCACCACCCCCACCACCCCCACCACCCCCACCACCCCCGCCACCACCACCATTAGCACCTGTGCGGACTTCCACTGCCCATCATATTTCCGGGACAGAATCCGCAAGGAGCACAAGCGTTGCAGACCCCATGGCTGTGATGTCCGCACCTGCTGCTACAAGAAAAAGCTCTTGCGCCGCCGAGGACACAGGGGGCCATCCTATGGCAACTCTTACTATGGGCATGTGTCTACCCTTGAGATTGATGACGGCGACGGTGACGGGGATGACATGGAGGAGGCAGTGAGAAAGACTTCAGACCAAAATCATACCATGACCTAAGCCCATCTTTTTAGAGAAAACCCTTGTTTCTTTTGCTCCCTTTAAAGGATTAGGGTTTAGGGTCCCTTGATTTGTCTCTTTAGGTTGCAAGGTTGGAAAGCTGAGTCGTTGGCTAATTTTCCAAAAATTGGCGGTTGCCTCAGCACGAGCAGCTGCAAGCATTTAGGAGCACCCGTGGCGTGTGGCTTCCCGGGGAACCTTTCATACCGTACTATTCTGTAGGGTTCAGGGTTCAGGGTTTGGGGGAAATACGGTAATCGGAACTTTTGCGGGGACTATGATTCAGATCTGACCCCATACAGGACGTCGCGTTCTTGCAAGAGTTGCGACGCGAAGAGGGCGAAGAGGGCGATGAAGATGACACAGAGCTATGATGGAGAGCCAAGCCGGGGCGGAGAGGGTGTGAGGTTTATGGGGGTTCCGGCCTTTAGGGTTTAGGCTCAAGGGGATTAGGGTTTAGGGTTGTCGGAAGCCGTTCCAGTGGTCTTGCTAGCATCAAGCAATCACTACTTGCGTATTGTGCGATGCACAGGATCTGTAGCTCGAAGAGTCAAAGGACGGTACAAATTCATTTCATGCACTCTTGATTGCTGGCATGACCATGATAAATGACGGCAGTCCCAAGTTTGTTTCAGGCATGCTTGATTGCGGGCATCATCATAAGACATGAGCGCCGCATCAAGTTCCAAATTTCCGACAGCTTTAGATTCCGCGCAAAGCCGCAGAGCTCTCCTCCAGACAATGACGCACGAGTTCCAGCGATTGCAAGAAGCATAGCATGGTATAGCATAATATGGTATAGTGAAGTATAGTATAGTATAGTATAGTATAGTATAATATAGTATAGTATAGTATAGTATAGTATAGTAAAGTGTAAAGTAAAGTAAAGCAAAGCATAGCATAGTATAGTAGAGTATAGTGAAGTATAGTGAAGTATGGTATAGTACAGTATAGTAGTATAGTGTATTATACTATACTATACCATGCTACTTTATGGTATAATCTAGTGTAGTATAGTACAGTAGAGTAGAGTAGAGTAGAGTAGAGTATACTACAGTATAGTATAGTATGTTTAATCACAATTTGTTGTGGTTCTCATGCAGTGAGTTCATTCAGCATGAACAAAAGCGGCACTTGATTCAGCATTTTTTCAGGGGAGTGCGAATCGACACTGCGTTGGTTATGAAGCTACGATGCATAAGGCAGTATTATGATTACCACTACTATTGCTATTACTATTACCATCACTATTACTATTGCTATGGCTCTTACTCATACTATTACTACTACTATTACTAGTAATATTACTGTTACTTTTTACTACTATTACTAGTACCATTACTCTTACTCTTACTCTTACTCTTACTCTTACTCTTACTCTTACTCTTACTCTTACTCTTACTCTTACTCTTACTTAGTAAATTGCTATTGCTAGTAGTAGTATTGCTATTACTGTTACTATTACTTTGACTATTACTGTTACTACTACTAGTACTGTTAGTACTATCACTAGTACTACTACTACTACTACTACTACTACTACTACTACTACTGCAACTGCTATTCCTACTACTACTACTACTACTACTACTACTACTACGACTACTACTACTACTACTACTACTACTACTACTACTACTACTGCTAGTCCGACTACTGTGAGTTGAGTTGTATCATGGTCATGCCCCTCATGTTTTTTCGGTATTGTCAAAGCCTTGAAAGAGCCCTGTTCTGGTGATTAAGGCCCCTCTCCTACTCCCAGGTTGCCAGAGGAATCGTGACTGGGGCTTTTGGCTCTGTCCGACGATGGGTCACCGGAGACTTTGGCGAAATTGGCCCGAGTCGGAGCACAGGGTTTATACTATCCCCGTTTAGTCCCTAGAAAAGCGACTTTGATACCCTTTCAATGAAGCAAAAGCAGTACCCGCCCTGTACCCTCTGTACATCGGGGCAAAAGGCCCCTCACTCTCGGTATTTAGTCTATGGTAGGGCCTGGCGGCATGAGCCGGCATGGCCGTCGCCTCTCCGATTCTCGCCCCTCCCCCTGCCCTTCAACCACCCCCCGCGCGGGCGCGCGCGCGCTCGCCGTACGCGAGCATCAGCAGCATC